CTTAGATGGTTAGACTGTTTCCAATTTTAGGATTCTATGAATTATTCTGCTGGCCTAGTTATTGATTTTGTTTCTATTTTTTGCTCAGGTTTATTCCTACTCTCACCTTTTTAAACGCTGGTGTACCCCACAGTTGTCAGTGACCAGCTTTTCCACTCTCTACACTCTTCTTCCAAGAACCTTATAAACTCTATGACTCTCTTGGATTTATGCTGTAGTCCTAACTTCACTCTAAAGCTCCAGATTTAGTGGCCGGCCTGTGGCTCACTCGGGAGAGTGCGGTGCTGATAACACCAAGGCCACAGGTTCGGATCCCATATAGGGATGGCCGGTTTGCTCACTGGGTGAGCATGGTGCTGACAACACCAAGTCAAGGGTTAAGATCCCCTTACCAGTCATCTTTAAAAAAAATAAAAAATAAAGCTCCAGATTTACATTTCTATTTGCTGCACATGATTAACTAGACATGCTACCAACCGTTTAAAGGTATCAGGCTAACCAAAGAAATCATATGAACCAAACTTCTTTGTTAGTATGACTTAGTGATCAAAAACACAAGTTTTAGGATCAGATATATCTCAATTTGAATCTCAGTTGTCACTGATTAGCCGTGATCAATTTGAATCACAGTTGTCACTGATTAGCCATAATCAAATTACTTAATCTCCTGAGTCTCAATTTTCCCATGTGTGTTTTGGGGTCAAAAATATTACAACTCGGGGCCGGCCCGGTGGCGCACTGGATAGTGCGCCGCTTGGGAAGCGCAGCGGCGCTCCCGCCCGAGGGTTCGGATCCCACATACAGACCGGTTCCCGCTCACTGGCTGAGCGAGGCACGGGAGCAACACCGAGGGTTGCGATCCCGTTGCCGGTCCCCGGTCCAGTACGGGGGCAACACTGAGGGTTGCGATCCGTTGCCGGACACGGAAAAAGACAAAAGACAAAAAAAAAAAAAAAAAAATATTACAACTCACTACGATTTTTGTATGTTAATGTTTTATACATATTTGGCTTAGCACAATACCTGGAATATGCTAAGAGCTCGATAAATATTAGCTACTATTACTAGCAATGACATGATACCATATTTCTAATCCTCCACTTCTACCAATTGTTATCTTTGGTGTTATGAACACTGCGCTCTAAGTGCCAATTCATTTATCTTTGACTCCTTCTGTCCTTTATCTTTTTAATAAATTCAATCAGCATTTGCACATTTTCATTTTCTACCCATCCGGGTCGCTAGAGTTTTAAATATTCATGAAGCCTCTTTTTATTTTTGTTCCCCCTACTTTACCTAGCATAATGCCTAATACGAAAAAGTTCTGCTATCATAAAACAATCAAATAATCTTCATACCTATTTCCCCACTGGATCCCTTATACTCTTTGAGGGCAGGAGTGTCTTGGTTCTCTTTGTTAAACCTACAACTGCCAAAGTCCCTTGGTCAAAAAATGTTTATTGAATGATTGTTGACCATTTTTATAAACCTGCCATCAAACTAGCTTCCTCATATGTGAAAGGCAGCTCTTATGTTACCTAATCCAATCATTTATTCTGACCAAATTGGCCTTACCACAACATTATCAAGAGCGGTCTCACTGAATTAGTCAGAACCTTTATTTTGTATCAAAAAATTCTACTCAAATTAAGCAGAACAGGGAATTTACTACTTTACGTAATCTGAAAGTCCAGAGATAGCACTAACTTTAGGCATGGCTATTGATCTAAAGGTTCAGTGTCATCAGAACTTGGTTCCACTGTTCCATCTTTTGGCTCTGCTTTCCATATGTTGGCAAGTTCCAAGCTTACATTCTATTCTCTCAGCAACCCCAGGGCTCAAAGTATGCCTCCTTTTCAATAGTTCAACAACAAATTCAAAGTGAACACTCATGTGCTGACTGGAAAATATGTCCATCTCTGAACAATCGTGGCCAGAGCAATGAACTATACTAATTAGCTAAGCCTGAATCATATGCATACCTTGTGTCAGCATGACATTCGTGTAACTGAGAGGGGGGTTCTCTAAGAAAATTGGGGTATCATTATCGGATGAAAGGGGAGTGGATGATGGATTTGAAAAGTTAATGTCCCCTATGCTCTAAAACTTTTTGCATGTTGTCCACCACTGCTTGGAATGGCTTTTCTTCTCATTTCTACCTAATCCAAGCTATATACCTTTCTGCTCCAAGAAGTCTTCTGTGATTTCTTCTAAGATTTTTCTTGTCCACTGAATCATGTAACCCATTTCCAAGTATTTCCTTTTTCCTAAAGATCTACCTTTTAAAACAAACAGGATGGAAAACCTCAAGAAAATGTTCCTGATAAATTCTAATCACCTCCAGTTACAAATGCTATGGGTAATACATGCTGTTTCCTAGGATGTAAACTCTTGAAGGAAAGCAGCTCTACCATGTACATTCCACACATTATGAAAGAACAGTATTTGAGGCAATTTTTATATATATATATATAGCATTCAAATAATTTTACTTGGCTTTAAACAGTCTAGGGTCTAAGAAAAACATTTTAGCTACCACAAGTTGGTCTGTATTCATCAAAGTACCTGCTATAAAAGGAAAACTAGAAGACTATGGGTTATGGAGTTACCTCAAACTAGGCTCAAATCCTGCTTAATACCCCTTCCCCTGCCGTTTAGACACATGTCTTTGAGCAAATTATTTAACATCTCAAAACCTTGGTTTCACTATCTGGAAAAACAGGTGAAGGTTGTGTGGTATAGTGGAGAGAACAGTTAGATGAACCTGGACTGAAATTCTACCACTAGCACTAACTATATGACTTTCTCTGAGCAATTCCTCACATGTAAAGTGGGGATAATAATATTTAGTCCATGGGTTGCTGAGTGCATTTAACAAGGCAATGTATTTTGAACTACCTAACACAATAAATAGCAAATAGTGAACAGTCAATAAGTGATGTTATCAGCATTAAATCAGCATTATCTGTTTAAAACAATTCAGAGGCCTTTATTTTTGTACTAATTACCAAGGTCCACCAAAGATTTCTTATATTTAATAAGTGATATTTCTTCATGTTAGAAATGACTCTAGTCTAATAGGTTGTAAAGTACCTTGTAATCTTTTTTTTTTTTTAACACTTTTTGACCAGATAAAATGTCAACCAACAAAAAATTTGGCTTATACAGAAACTATTAAAGTGGGGATAAAAACATACTTAAGGCTGGTTGGTTTGCTCAGTTGGTTAGAGCAAGGTGTTGTAACACCAGGGTCAAGGGTTCAGATCCCCATACTGGCCAGCCGGAAAAAAAAGGAAGGGGAAAAAAAAAACTTAAAAATTCAGAGCACAGTAAGGAAAAACCTTTTTGGGATTACTTATTGTTCTTCATAAATGCCTTTGGGTTTTCTTTGCTAGGTGATAAGATATTTCTTAAAGGCTTCTAGAACTACTTAAAAGCAGGTAAGTAGAGCATGGTACTGAGAACACCAAGGTCAAGGGTTCCCCTATACTGGCCAGCCGCCAAAAACAAAAAAAGAAGGTAAGATAATGAGCTAGATAGACTACTGTAATCAACTTGTTCTTTAGCTTCAGGCTTAATGTAGTAATACGGAAATGACTCACATCAGTATGAAATCGCTATGCCATATAGCCACCTCCTGAACAGAATCAGGAAATTTTGGATATGAATGACAATTTTAGATGCTGTCTATCAGAACACATACAGAAGGCAAATGGCTGATTGTATTTACCTTAGAAAGAAAGTTTAATTTTAATATCATTCACTAGAAAAATACAAATTATATTCAGTACAACTGTTTCTAAAAAGAGATTAAATAAGCAGGCATTTAATTGCTTCCATTTTAAACTATAGTAAAAGTTTCTTCGGAAAGAATAGTTTTTTGAAGTGGTTTAACAGTTCTGTTTATTTTTCCAACATGAGTGAATCATATCTAATACTTATCAATATTTTAGTGAGTGCAAAAACATAGGAAAGGTGTTAAATCTAAGATTTTAAAATAAAATAATAAAACGGAATAAATATAAGACACAGACTACTGCACATTCTTTGACTACAAAAACACTACATGAATATAAAATATTTACATCATATTATACAAAACCTGTGTAAGGGTTTTTTCCCCCTTTTATTTGTGTAAAACATGAATAGACTCAGTTTTTAATCTACTCCTGAGGAAGCTATATTTAAAACATGAGAGAAATGTTGAACACCTCAGTTACCAGACATTGTTCCCTACAAGTAAGAAAACCAAATAATACCTAATTCCTATTCTCTTTCCTGTGTTTAAAAATAGGTGTAAAGAAAAGTAATGCTTTAAAATGGAAAAGCAAAAGTAGATATGGTGGAAAATCTCTTTCCTAAGTAGTTTTCTTACTTTCAACTTTTCTTGGAGGACATGAGGAGTGGTAGAGGAATGTGAGGGAAGTCTGAAGATGGGCTCTAGTTATTTTTACATGTACATTTGGTAAGTCAACTAGATGAAGGCAGAGAAAGAAGTTACAGAGCTAGGGTTCGCATTACACACATATACACACCACAGATAATTCTTTCGAAAAAACACCAGTGCTGAAATCGATCCTTCCCTGACAATGCAGCGACCAGAGACACCCCTGCTACTCAGATCTATTAAGAGCACTCTACGGTGCCAAGTCTCTGCAAAGTCAATTTGGCATCCCCAATCTGAAAAGGCCTGCAGAAACTGGGGCAGGGCCAGAAACTGATTTCTCGTCGCCACCCATCAATCCCCTCCGGTCCCCTTCCCAGAGAGATGCTGCTGACCGCCGCCTCGCCCCAGGCTCGAGGTCTGGCCCGCAGGCCCGGAGTCCTGGATGGGTTGGAGCAGTAGGCTTATGCCCGTTACCCGGGCGTTACCCGAGTCCCAACCGGGAGCCTACGGGACCAGTTGCTGTAACCACCCCCGAATCCTCCTCCCCCGGCTGAGGCGGCTTCCCCGGAGCCCGGCTCTCCTGCCAATGGGGATGCCCCTCCGCCCGGCTCACCGGCCCGAGTGGTGTCCGTCAGGTCGTGGTTGGCCGCTCCCCGGGGAAACTCCCTCAGTTTCCGGCCGCTCAGGCTCAGCACCCCGGTCACCGCCGCCTCCTCCAGGGCTCGGTCGAGGGAGCGGCTCCACGAGCCCGGGCCAGGACCAGGAGCTGCCCCGGAGTTTGGGCTGCAGTTAACACCGGAGAGGTTACCTCCGGACGCTACGGGGCCAGAGTACTCGGCAGCCACTGCCACAGACACCAAGCCCACGGCCGCCATTTCCCAGCCAACAACGCTCGGGTCGGCGGCTTGGCGCATGCGCGGACCGAACCGATGGGTGGGCGGGGAAAGGGGCTTTTAGACTCGGGACCGTTTCCTTGATGGACAGCGCCGTAGTGCCCGTCCGCACAGCCAGGCGCTTGCCACGCCCACATCGAGGTTTTCAAGGGAAATTAAAAGGAACTAATATCTGGATCAGCTTCTTACTCTAGGCTCCCAGTAGCATTTCTAAAATGCCTTTACAAAAATCCTTCACACAGCACTCCTCACCAAACCTTTTCTGCCTACCTCCCTCAGTAGTGGATTAGATTAATAAGCATTAAATAAAGGTTTCTTAACATTGTTGCTGCCAGAAACTTGGGCGGTGAGTGGACCAGACAGTCTGGGATACAACCTAAAACCTTTTCCAACTTCTTTCATTGTATTACAATATGATTTAAATCGAGACTTGTGGATTCACTACTATATTGGTTGAAAGAAAAAAATACGTGCTAATTTGGCTCCAAACTCCATAATTCTCATTGAAAGGGTTATATAAATATTTTAGACCCCTCCCTTTTATAAAATAGCTCTTCTTTTTAATGAAAATAAAAATCTTCAAAAGTACTTGTCCTTTAGGCAAGATCTTGTTGAATAAAGCAGGATGAATTACTGAAGAAACGGTCAAAACTGAAACCATCCATGGCTAGCCAGTTAGCTCAGCTGGTTAGAGTGTGGTGTTATAAGATCAAGGTCAGGGTTTTGGATGCTGGTACCAGCCAACCACCAAAAAAACAAAAACAAATTGAAACTCCTCAAGTAATGAAAGAGTGGAAAATACTTCACCTTAAACCAGTTAGACCCCACTTACATTGCAACCAGTCACTAGCATATTCTTCAGTTTTACATTTAACCATTCCTGTTACATGATGTAAATTTCCCCTACAATTAACCAACTAATATTTACTTTGGGAAATAGAAGAAGCTGTGAGATACAGTCCTTTTCCTACAGGATTATGATCTAATTGTGGATTCCAGGCCAATAGACGAATTAGAGAATAACACAACAAAAAAAGGGTTGAGTAGGGATTATCTATGACTTCAGATAAAAGGAATCTATATTTCATGGATGAATGAGGTCTTGAATCAAACCTGAATTATGAAGTGGGATAGGCTAGCAGGTGTAAGCGATATTCTAGACTGGAAGGAGGATCAGCATGAATACATCCAGGTATGATTTATAATGGTACGCATGGAAGACATTAAGGCCACAGACCAGATAGTTCATGTAAGAGAACAAAAGAAAATAAGGTTGGAGAGATTGTACCAATCATTGAAAGCCCAACTCTTCAATAAAATCTTTTTTTTTTTTTTCAACTTGAAAAGAAATATATTCACAATCTGTAGAGTCACATTCTTGTTACCACTCCCACAACCTTAGGAGTGTCCAAGAAACCCAGAGTCTTTAAAATTTTACAATGTGGTAGTATCTACAATGTGAACACAGTACACTCCGAAAAGAAATAAATTCTTTGACCAAAGTGTCCAAATCTAAATGTAGACTTCCTTATTTTTCTGGATCATTCTTTTTCATTTTTCTTATCCTAACCTCAAAGTTCTTAACAAACTACACTAATGTTTGAAGAAACTTAGAGGTAAATATGTATACATTCTACAATGCAAATCTACATACTTGCAAACACACTGGCTAGAGACATACAAGTGGTAGAAGTAGTAAATATAACTAAAATACATCTACTTGGTCACTTTTATGGGTAAAAATAATAAGACCCAAAGATATTATTCTGTGCTAGTATTCATGAATCTATAGATTAAAATTAATTGGTTTCAAGTTAAAAAGGTCATATTTGTTTTCAGACCTTTGTGTATAAAGTTTTAAAATGAAGACTCCATAGCTCTCTAAATGCCAGCTGAATATTTTCCTGTGGGGTATAAGAGAATTTAAGAGGCAATCCAGTAGCTAAGATATTTCCAATTAAAGCTTTATCTTTCAGAGGATGCTCTATTTCCTTCTCTTCGATGTTCAAAGACAAGTTTGTGAAGCAGGTTTCCTTGGTTTTTTTTAACCCTAAAATGCCCCTGGCCTCCAAGAAACCTAAAAGTGACAAACACTCTGACTGATCCACAGCTTCCACCTGCTGTCTGCAACAGACTTTACTGTAGGCTTCATATAACTTTCCCAGAGTGACCTCTTTGATTTTTAACTGCCTGGTCAAGAGCAGCAAAGAGCAGACTAAGATCTTCTGCTGAAGAGGGAAAGAATCTTGTGCTCCTTCTTGGCTCAAAGTCATCCTGTTACCTTCAATTTCTGAAATGATTTGGGATATGTGACTAAGACCAACCTGCTTGGGAACCAGAGGCTCAGAGGGTGATTTACATTCAGAGAGGGGTTTGAGGACAGTCTAGCTTTTGACATCCGACTCTACAATGTCAATAGCTCTCCTGCAAATATCAAGCGCTTTCGAACATCTCCTGAAACAGCAGAGACTTTGCAAGCACAGACCTGAATCGAAGCATTGTCCAGAACCTGATCTCTAGGTACCTGGTTAAGTCGATCCTGCAAAATGGTGGCCATGTGATTTCTGGTATAAGGTGAGAAGTTCAACGGCTGTGGCTTATGTTTTTCTCTAGCTTGAAGCCTAGACAGAATTGTCTGTGAGTTAGCTATATCAATCAGCACCAATCAAGAACTGTTTCACCATGGCCATTCAAAGTGTGTAAAAAATCCTGCCCTTTGCTCTTCAGCTGATCCATCTCATCCAACACCAACACAATCACAGGGCCCCTTCTCTGCAGTCATATGTTTTTCCAATTTCCTCATCATGACCTTCCTGGAAACTTGGAAACTTCTGGCCTGGAAACTTCTTCCTGATAAATCTCCTGAGTAATAACTGGGAATACAGCCTGGGCACTCCTCAAGGACATGCAATTCAGTATGACAGTTTAAAAGCCTTTCAATTCCTTCTTGAGGTTTTGCAGAATTTGGCTTAAGCAGAGTTTTTCCAGTTCCAGGAGCACTAGAAAGGTAAAGACTTCCAGCTTTTTTCCCCACAGATGTGTTCTCTCAGGGAATTCCTGATGACATCCATCTCCTTATTCCTGGAAGGTAGCCGATCTGGGACAGCTGTACTCAGGGCCAGCTTTGCTTGCTGGTATCAAGTGCCTTCTTGCCTTAACAGTCTCATATATGTAGATTCTTTCTCCAGTGGACATCTCTGCTCAGAACTTGCTGTGTGGTCTCCTGACCTTTTTGAACTGAGGAAAGTACTTTGTTTTGGTGAACTCTAGCTTGTTCTCTTTTGCTAGGAGATTTAATTGTCAGCTGATTGTCAAATACTAATCTGCGTTCCTTAGGTGTATGTGAGCAAGGGGGACCATTCTCTTTCTTGCCCTGCTTTGGTGGAGAACAGGGAGGTAAATGGTGAGTGTTGTATAGGTTGTCATCACCCAGACGTTTTCTGGGGCTGAGAGGCTGGATTTTTTTTTTTCATGTCCAGCAACGGATCGCAACCCTCAGTGTCAAGCCCATACCGGACCGGGACCGGCAACGGGATCGCAACCCTCGGTGTTGCACCCGCACCTCGCTCAGCCAGTGAGCGGGAACCGGTCTGTATGTGGGATCCGAACCCTCGGCGGGAGCGCCACCGCGCTCCCAAGCGGTGCTCTGTAGCAGTGCGCCACCCGGCCGGCCGGAGAGGCAGGATTTTTACGAAAGGAGAACAGGGTATAGCCTGGACAGTCGTTGGTTCTAGTTTATTGTTACTAGAGTTTTTAGTTTTGTCTAATGTCCGAGACAGCTTCTTTTCTGGAAAACGAATGGTAGTCCGTGCCTGGGATCGGGTTGGAGGCACGATGGCAATACAGCTCAGTGCATATTCCTTCTCACGCCTCTCACACACAGCCTCAGGGACTCTCCACAACAAGCTCCTGAACAAACTACACACCTGCAACAGCAGTCCAGCTGGCTCACGCAGTATCTGCAGAGTTCCTGCCTCCCGCCAAAGGCCGGCCTTATTCCTGACTGGCAGTGGCCACGCCACGCGCCTTTGCTACCACCCCCTTTTTTGCATCCAATCCAGCTGGAAGGCCCACGGCCAGTAAGAGAATCAACATGAGGCCACGCCCACTCTCCAATGAAATCTTGATTAGCATTTTCCCGAACTCCTAAATGCAAGAGGTTGTAAAAATGTTTAATCTTGGTGCCAAAATTGTTTAATAACAGCTGCCCAGCGAACTGTCCTATGAACTCTTACTACCACCTGCTTCTTCAGCAAAAAAGTTCCATGATAGATTACCAGTATCTGTTATGAGCATGGGCCACTGTAAAGGCAGGTGATGTATTTGTCATCACTGGCAAATAACATTCATCCAATGCATGTATTGGTTTGTTATTCTGGTCTTCCTAAAATTATTTTGCTATTCTTAGAAAGACATTAACCTATTTAAGAGCAGGATCTCATTTTATATTTTTTAGAAAGATCTCAATTACAATGACTAAGATTCTATTTAAATATTCCATATTAACACTACAATGCTATAGAATTAGTTGCCAGATGAATCTTTCAAAAATGCAGCATTACATCATCTAATTTGATTGCCTACTACCTTCCACATTTACACTAAATTTTTCTGACAAGTTCTCTGGAATATGTCCTTATTTTTCCTATTTACATGCACATCCCATTGTAATCGCAACATACAATGCTAATCCTGAACTGAACAAATTTATAGACTGATGTTTGACTATTCAACTAGATTTTAAGGTCCTTAATATATTAACCTATATGCTATAATTATCTTCCATTGAGCACATTAATAGTTAAAAAATAGTAAGGATGAGTGTAAAGCAGCAGAGACAGAAGATAGGTTATGCACTAACACAGGAGAGAAGATTGGGAAGAGAGAAAAAAGAATTATAATTTTTAAGGAGAACAAGGTACCTGACTGAGTCTGTAGATATTTGAAGGCCAAAAGAAAGGGCTTTAGATATGGGGGGAAATGAAGATACTATATACACGATTATA